GCGGAGGGGCGGCGGCCATGCCGTACCTTGTCGCGGGCGGCCTGGGTCTGCTGCTGCTCTACCGCCTCCTGCGCCGGCTGCAGCGCCGTACGCAGCCTCACGGCAAGGTGGTGGTGGTCACGGGCGCCAGCTCGGGGCTCGGAGGGTGCGTGTAACAGAAGACTCGCGCTTCGCCTTGATCGTCGTCATTGTCATCATCGGCCATGGTTTATCCCTCTATGTTTGCTGAACTTATGCACCGTACGTAGCCAACCGTGCTAATCGGAGGTGCGGGGGAAGGACAACAAACTAATCACAAAAAGCAGTTCTAAAGAAATGAGTTCTCAGTCTTCATTTAAAATTGCATAGCTCCAATGGATTCCTAATATCAGAAGGACGTTCCAGACGGCCACAGAAGGACATTTGAAAGCGTGCGTTGACCGTCCTTGTTCGACGGCACTTATCCCAGCAGCCCGTGTACCCTATATGGAGGATCTTTGTCTTCGTGTGCCTGTGCGTGCGCGACAGCGTGTGCACGCGCGTTCCATGCGGAGGGAGCGAGGCTCGTGCTGTGCGGACGCGACCTGCAGAGACTCGAATCTCTACGCGATGAGCTCTCGGAGAGAGTACGTATACTTGCTCTGCAGTCCACCACACACACACGTGACTCAGTGGCTCCGCTATCAATGTGCAGGTGGTGAAACTGCACCAGGAGCCGGAAAGGCCCAGTCATTCAGCTACAAGGGAGGGGGGGGGGAAGGAAAATGGATGGGCCAGGGGGCTTGGTGACATTCCCCGCACAAAGACCTAAACCAACCTCCACTCCGTCACTGTGCGTCACCCACAGGGCCCAGAGGACCGTGCCCCACGCGTGGTGCCCTTTGACCTGGGCTCGCCCGGCGAGGTGGCGAGGGCGGCGGAGCGGGTGGTGGCGGCGCACGGCCGCGTCGACGTGCTTGTGAGCGGCGCGGGGATCAGCTACCGCGGGGAGGCGGCGCTCACCGCCATGGACGTGCACCGCCAGCTCATGGAGGTCAACTACTTTGGCGCCGTCGCCCTCCTCACGGGTCAGTCTCCCCTCGCTCGTCTACGGATCTCGGCCGTCGGCGACTCACGTGCGCTCGTGCATGCAGCAGCAGTCCAAGTCAAATAACAAATTGCTGTTGTGTGTGTGGAGGAACGGTAGTGTAGCGGTTAGCACGCTGTACTACGAACCCGGCGACCCCAGTTCGATTCCCGCTTACGGCCAACACCAGTGATGATTATCTGAACTGGTCCTGGGCCTCCCCTAGGTCGACTCAGCCTCAAATGAGTACCTGGTGCGGTGTGTAAACATTGCCGCTGGGGAGCCAAAGGCGGTCGGGCGTGGTGTTGGCCACCCACCCCCTTTGTCTTTGTGTACCGCATCGCACGCTTTCAGATGCACTTTTGTGGCCGTCTGGAACGCTCTTCCTTCCAATATTGGAAAGCCACTGGAGCAATGCACTTTTAAATCCAGAGAGAAAACTAATTTCTTTAGAGCTGCTTTTTGTGTTTAGTTTGTCTTTCCGCCACCCCTCGGATTTAGCACGGTTGGCTACGTACGGTGCGAAAGAACTTCAACACATGTACACATACGCATGTATGTTGAACTTATTTAGCACGTAAGCATGTTTATTTAATGCAGACTGCCTTGTTGTGACTTTGGTTGGTGTCGCCCCGTAACCCTGCGAGAGCTGTGCGTGCTGTGCGTACTGTGCGTGCTGTGCGTGCTGTGCGTGGCTGTGCGTGGCTGTGCGTGCTGTGCGTGCTGTGCGTGGCTGTGCGTGGCTGTGCGTGGCTGTGCGTGGCTGTGCGTGCTGTGCGTGCTGTGCGTGGCTGTGCGTGGCTGTGCGTGGCTGTGCGTGGCTGTGCGTGCTGTGCGTGCTGTGCGTGGCTGTGCGTGCTGTGCGTGGCTGTGCGTGCTGTGCGTGGCTGTGCGTGCTGTGCGTGGCTGTGCGTGGCTGTGCGTGCTGTGCGTGGCTGCTGTGCGTGATGCTGTGCGTGGCTGGTGCCTGTGCGTGCTGTGCGTGGCTGTGCGTGCTGTGCGTGGCTGTGCGTGGCTGTGCGTGCTGCTGTGCGTGCTGTCGTGGCTGTGCGTGCTGCTGTGCGTGCTGTGCGTGCTGTGCGTTGCTGTGCTGCGTGGCTGTGCGTGCTGTGCGTGCTGTGCGTGCTGTGTGCGTGCTGTGCGTCGTGCTGTGCGTGGCTGTGCAGTGCTGTCGTGGCTGTGCGTGCTGTGCGTGCTGTGCGTGGCTGTGGCGTGCTGTGCGTGCTGTGCGTGCTGTGCGTGGCTGTGCGTGGCTGTGCGTGCTGTGCGTGCTGTGGCGTGCTGTGCGTGGCTGTGCGTGGCTGTGCGTGCTGTGCGTGGCTGTGCGTGCTGTGGCGTGGCTGTGCGTGCTGTGCGTGCTGTGCGTGCTGTGCGTGGCTGTGCGTGGCTGTGCGTGCTGTGCGTGCTGTGCGTGCTGTGCGGGCTGTGCGTGGCTGGCGTGCTGTGAGTGCTGTGCGTGCTGTGCGTGGCTGTGCGTGCTGTGCGTGCTGGTGCGTGCTGTGCGTGGCTGTGCGTGCTGTGCGTGGCGTGTCGTGAGCTGGTGGCGTGCTGTGCGTGCTGTGCGTGGCTGTGCGTGGCGTGTCGTGCTGTGCGTGCACATGTGCGTGCTGGCCGTGCTGTGGCGTGCTGTGTGTGAGCTTGTGCGTGGCTTGTGCGTGCTGTGCGTGGCTGTGTGTGGCTGTTGCGTGGCTGTGCGTGCGGTGCGTGCTTGTGCGTGCTGTGCGTGTCTGTGCGTGCTGTGCGTGCTGTGAGTGCTGTGCGTGGGCCTGTGTGGTGGCTGGTGCGTGCTGTGCGTGCTGTGCGTGCTGTGCGTGCTTGTTGTGGTGCTGGGCGTGGCTGTGCGTGCTGTGCGTGCTGTGCGTGGCTGTGCGTGCTAAGGCGTTGGCTGTTGCGTGGCTGTGCGTGCTGTGCGTGCTGTGCGTGCTGTAGCGGCGTGGCTGTGCGTGCTGTGCGTGCTGTGTGTGGCTACTCCAGCCCTCCTGCCGTCGATGCTGAAGCAAGGAGAGGGGCACATCGTGGCCATTAGCAGCGTGCAGGGCCGCATCGCCATTCCCTTCCGTTCTGCGTGTAAGCATTTGAGCGACCTGCACGTCAACACACCACACACGCCACCGCGCACGCCACCGCACACGCCACCGCACACGCCACCGCACACACGCCACCGCACACACGCCACCGCACACACGCCACCGCACACACGCCACCGCACACACGCCACCGCACACGCCACCGTACCGCGAGCACCGCGCACGCCAACACAGACCTGTTTCAACATGGTGACGCAACCTGTCGCGCCGACTCTGCACGCAGATGCCGCCTCCAAGCACGCCACGCAGGCGTACTTCGACAGCCTGCGCGCCGAGGTGGCCGACTCGGGGCTGAAGGTGACGGTCGTGAGCCCCGGCTACATCCGCACCAACCTATCGCTCAACGCGCTCACGGCCGACGGGACGCCATACCACGGTACGGTGACTGCCACGCGCCACGTGCCACACGCCACAGACAAAGAATCTGAGGCTGAGTCGACCTAGAGGAGGCCCAGGACCAGCTGAGATAAATTGTCAGTGGTGCTGCCCATGGGCGGGATTCGATTTCGGGTCGCCGGGTTCGTAGTACAAGTAAATTGCGGAAGAGAAAAAACCCAGGACAGAAAAATGAGTGCACCCTGGACACAAAATAGATGCAGCAGCAGCACACGGAGATGTGCAGAGCAAGCACAGCTCCTGGGCCTTATCCACACCCCCAGCTCAAAAGCACTGGGCATTCTGTCGTTTAGACCAGCGGCTCAGTTGAGAAAATGTGGCCAACCAACAGGCAAGCAGTGAAATATGGAGAGGACTGTAACCTTCATGCTATTGTAATCCCCGGGAGCAGTTGCCTCAAGGCAGCAATTATTACAATCTGTAAATGACTCGAAAAGCCATCACAAGAGCGAAAGGAGTGGGCGAGCAGGCCAGAACACAAAGGAGTTCTCAACACGCTTAAGAGATGTGCGTCGCGTGTTCAAAAAGCTCGGCCTTATTCCCAAAACCGCCATCCATCACTGCCCGACCACGGGCGCAGTGCGGCGTGCGTTGCACTGCATGCATTGTGCGCTGCGTTGCTTTGTGTGTTGCACTGAGTGTGCTGCGTTGTGCACTGCGTTGTGAGCTGCGTTGTGAGCTGCGTTGTGTGCCTTGCACTGCATGCACTGTGCTGCCTTGCGCTGCGTGCATTGTGTTGTGGGTTGCGCTGCGTTGTGTTGCGTTGTGCTGAGGTGTGCGTTGCGCTCGCCACGTGGTGCAGCGATGGACGCGAACACGGCGGGCGGGCGCTCCCCGGACAGCGTGGCGCAGGACGTGGTGGGGGCGGTGCTCGATGGCCGTGCCGAGGTGGTGTCGGCCGGGCTGGCGCCGACGGCCGCCGTCTACCTGCGCACCCTGCTCCCGTCGCTCTACTTCATCCTCATGGCGCGGCGCGCGCGCTCTGACAGGAAGAAGGCCGAGCAGGCGTGACGGCGCCGTTGCTCTCCTCTCCCCCCACCCCCCACAACACGCGGAAAGTTTGAGATGCTGACAAAGCAGAATGAGATGGAACATGTATCTACGTCCCGTATGTTGAACTTCTTTTGCACCGTACGCTGCCAAACAGTGAATCAGAGGTGCGATGCAATACGGACAAATGGAAGTGACCGAGAGACAAAGAGGACAGAGACACGGACACGTAGAAGGGGAAACGCGCAGATGGAGAGACAGAAGCGTAATGTGCACATTGTGAATAGGAGCTGGTGAAGAGGGACTGGTGAAGATAACTACTTTGTGTTTAGTTTGTTGTCCTTCCCCACACTTCCGATTAGCACGGTTGACTACGTACGGTGCAAAAGAAGTTCAACATGCATACATACAAGAGGAACTGGTGAATAGGGGCTGGTGAATAGGGACTCACAAGCTGCCCACACTTCCCCATTGTGCTTCTGTTTTTGATGCCTGACGTTTTATGATTTCACAGTGGGTTTATTTTCATAAAAACAAATGCAATGCCAAGGTTATGCACAACTGGACAAGTACGCAAGGAAAGGTTAGAGTGAACTCCATGGCATGTATGCTCAATGCCAGGAAGGTTGGCCGTTCCAGATGTAGCCGTGTTTCTCACCCCGGTCACATCCATGTCAATCGTAAAACGAACATTTTAATATGCTCACAAAATGTATGCAGTAACAGTATCGCAAACTTTACAAAATGTACGATTAAATTCAATTTGGTGCTGCTGATTTTTACTTTGCCAAAGTTTAAAACACATAAGCTCTTTTAAATGTATTTGAAATGTCGCTTGGGATGTCTAAAAGAAACGTTGACTTGAAATAAAGTGGCATAATATTATGTTTCCAGACAATTCAAAGTCAATGGAACTGATTACAGAAATTGCATTAAATGCAGTAATTGCAGAAAATAAAATCACTTGCTATTTTCACTTTGTCTGACGCTGCCTCCATTGGCGTTTTGAAAAATGCCGAGATTGACCGTTAACATGATTTCAGGTTTTTCTTAATTTATTCATCGTTCATAGAGCACAAATAGGCATTTCATCACCGCTGAGTCCAAAGTTTTACACATTTTATGCCTGTAATTTAAAACAGAACTCTACCCAAAACATAAATCTCCTGGCATCACACGCCTAGGATGCCAAAGGTGCTGGTGATTCAGTGCTCTGGCACATCCACCACCACCACCCCCACCCCGAGCTGCGGCCACGGGTTCCGTTTCTCACGCCTTCCCCATCGTGGGAGTTCACGGCACGAGCCCACGGTAGCGCAGCATCAGTCCTCCGCCTCCACCATGTTAGCAATGCTCATTTTAACACTTTCACTTTAGAGGCCTTTGTAGATCCACTGCTGGATTTGTGTTGTTCACGGGGCTTGTTTGATCATACTTCACCGTGCTGGCCAGTGGGTGTTGGTGAACGTATGTATGTGGTGTTGGCCACCCACCCCCTCGTGTGCTGTTTCTGGTCTTCATAGGTGCTACTCGCTAACAGCACTTGCCCCAACAGTCTGTTAAGGCTATACGGGGGGGATCTTTGTTTAACTTCTTTAGCACCGTCCGTAGCCAACCATGCTAATCGGAGGTGTGGGAAGAGGTTGGGGGGGGTGTCTCCAGGATCGGTTCAGATAACACTCGCCACGACCGGGAATAAAACTTGGGTCCCCGGGTTAGCGGTGCGGTGTGCTAACAACAACTGCCCCGCCGCTCCGCGCATTCGAGGCCCGGCCCGGTGGCGGCACCGCTGGGGACCGCCCGTGTCCGCTGCTCCCCTGGCCACGCTGCCCAACCCCCTCAGCTGCCGTGCTCGAGCAGCAGCTGAGGGTCGTGCGACGTCACGAGCAGGAAGACACGGCGGCTCAGCTCGGGCCCCACGCGGCGCGACGTGGCCACGACGCCCTCACCACGCCGCACCAGCAGATCGGCGAGCAGGGCCACACGCTCGCGATCGCTCCCGCAGCGCGCGTACGCCTGCAGGGGCACGCAGCAGCAGCAGCAGTAGCAGCAGTTGCAGCAGTAGCAGCAGCAGTAGCAGCAGCAGTAGTAGCAGCAGTAGCAGCAGTAGCAGCAGTAGCAGCAGCAGTAGCAGCAGTAGCAGCAGCACCGCATGCTCCGATTAGCACTTTTGGCTAGGTACAGTGCGGAAGAAGTTGAACGTGTATGCGATTAGCGCTGCCGTGATACCGTTTTCACGCTGCGGTATAACATTTCACGACACCACGGCTGTACAGACATTAAAGCGATTTGCCGCTCAAGTGAACATTGAGGCGTTGCACATGTTCTGTTTCCAGCCCGGAGCCAGCGGTGGAAACTCCACATTCCTATGGCGGGGTGAGTCTCTCCATCGAACATCCACTGTTAACTTCCCCACAAAGAGGTATATAGATATCTTCTAGTTTATAAAAACGTAATTGTATTTCACATTTGTATTGTAATGTTTTTGTTCACTCGACATAACCCTGCCTAGAGTCTTCTAATCCGTAGGGAGGGTGCCCGGCGCACCCTGTCCTCGCTAGACATTAACATTTTAACATTCAAGCAAAAATACTCTTGGAAGCACAGATTAGAAGAAGCAAAAATCGAACCTAAGAGAATACAATATGGCCAAATATATTACATTACAAGTAATAATTTTTACTTTACAAGAGATAGCAGGCAAAATGACATAAAACATGACCTCATAACTCGCTGGCCTGTGACGTGGCCAGGAGATGGTGAATCGGTTCATGAAGCTGCCTGGGTGGACATTTGAGTATTGCCCCTCTGTACGCGTGGGCTCTCACTGGCAACTCCACTTTGCTCCTACACACAAAACACGCCCCCCCAAAATGGAAATTGGCTGAATATCACTCCATTGAGACATTTGCCCAAATCCTTCTGAAGAAATATCAAGACTCGGGAAGACCATTTTGGATAATTCGCCGTTATTTACACGTGACATAATTATTTCCAAAACAAAACGCGATGGCCGCAAAGACAAAAGCAACGCGTCGTTAAGCAGCGCGGTTGGGCCTGAGTTATCCCCTTCATGTCACCCCCCCCCCGCGGCCACACGCACCTGCAGGAGGAGCCGGGGGGAGGGGAACGCACGCACGACGGCGCTCGCCATCTCGGCGCTGACGCGGTTCAGCTGCTGCAGCTGACGCTGCCACAGCTGCAGGTATCCGCGGCCGTCCCGGTCCACGCGCACCCCGCCCGCCCCCTCGCTCTCCACGCAGAACGCCAGGCCCGTCGCCTCCCTCTCCCTCCTGCACACGGCCCCCACGATTAATGTGGAGATAAACACACAGCCACCGGAGCTGTGCACTCTTAAATCATCTCGATTGAAAAAATAATTATAACTGCTTTTTGTGTTTAGTTTTTTTGTCCTTCCCCCGCACCTCCGATTAGCACGGTTGGCTAATAAGTTCAACAAATGTATAGCAAAGACAAAGATCCCCCATAGAGCCTTAACAAACTGTTGTTAGTAAGTCTGAGCATTTCTTATTGCACCATCACGAATTTGCACTAATCACACATGTTGTCAGCTCTTTGGAACAACACCGTTTTAAACTCTATTGAAAAACTAGCTGTCATATCGCCACACGAGGTTAATGTGCCGGGGGTACATCAGATCACCGTGGGCTGCAGATTGTAGACGGCATCGATTTGGGTCTATCGAGACCGGTACACGCTGATCTTGTACAACAAATAGGCACAGTTTGTAAGCAATTATGTATTTAATAGGTAGCCAGTGTAGCTTACTGGAATGGCACGCGAGGGAATGGGTGACCAGCACCATGCCTGGCCGATAATTACACACATGTACTTGTTCAGGCTGAGTCGACCTAGGGAATGCTTAGGACCGGTTCAGATAATCGCCACCGGTGTTGGCCGTGAGCGAGAATTAAACTCGGGTCACGCTGAGTTCGTAGAAGAGCGCGCTAACCGCTGCACCACCGCTCCCCACTCACACACCCACGCCTCACCTAACTCACCGCCGCTCACATGGGCATCGCTGACCCCCAAATCGGATCGCATCAAACGCCGGCGTTGATGTGCACAGCGTTGCTCGTGCCGTGAAAGCAAAGCGGAAACAGCTGCGCATCTCTCACTTGTAGGGAGCCATGGCGATGGCCTTGGTGAACATGGCCACAAAGTCAGCAAACTCCTTCCACGAGTCCAGGAAGCGCAGCGCCGTGCTGGTGTGCAGCTGCAGGTCCACGAGCGCCTGGGGGACGGACACACAGGGACCCACCGCACAAGCCTCCTCCTCTCTCCTGCTCCTCCCCCATACTCCCCCTCCTCCTCCCCCTTCTCACAGACGCAGCACACACACAGAGGATATGTGCCCAGCCAGAGACGCCCAGCCTCACCTCCTCCATGTCCACCCGGGACACGTCAACTTTAGCTGGCATTGCTCGCTTGTTCCTCCTCTTCTTCGCCATCTCCGCTGCAGTACCCTCCGCCGACTCTTTACTCGGCTTCTGTCCCTTGTTTTTTTGGCTGTTGCATTTTCAAAAGAACATGGTCACCAATGTGTACAGGAAGGTCGTGGGTTCGATCCCAGTTTTCCAATAGACTTTAAAAGTGTTGTTCCAAAGAGCTGATGACGTGTGATTAGTGCGCATTCGTGATGATGGAATGGACTGCGATAAGAAATGCTCAGACTTACTCAATAACAACAGTCTGTTAAGACTATACGGGGATCTTTGTCTTTGCTGTACGTATGCTGAATTTCTTTCACACCGTACGTAGTCAACTGTGCTAATCAGAGGTGTGGGGGAAGGACAACAAGCTAAATACAAAAATCAGTTCTAAAGAAATTAGTTTTCAATCTAGATTTAAAAGTGCATAGCTCCAGTGGCTTCCTAATACCGGAAGAGCGTTCCAGACGGCCGCAGAAGCGCATCTGAAAGTGTGCGATGCGGTGACCGTCGTCGTTCGATGGCCAGCCAAGCCCCGCTGCTGTAAAGATGACCGGAGTTTGTGTGATGTTTTATGCTCCTTGACGAGACCGGCGAGGTATTGGTGGTTCACTTGTGGCAAGCACTTTGTGTGTAATGAGAAAGCCGTGCACCAGCCGACGTGCCCGTGGCCCCTCACTTGAAATACTTGTCGACGTCCACAACGGCCAGCGTGAGGGCGCAGTGTGGATGGGCCGCCATCACCGTGGACACAAACCCCCTGAGTGAGAGGTGGCAGCCGCTGTCCCCGGAAGATGCCACCTGCTGACGACACGGAGAGGAGAGAAAAATCGCAAATCGCTTTCGCGAGACTGAAAAGGAAAAGCACGTCGGTTGGTTATATCCCTTCGACACAAGCTTCATCACTCAGCTTGCCCATTAACACTCCATTAGCATGCAGCTAAGACTACAGTGTTGTTATAACTCACTCAAGAATTTTCAAACCGTACAATAAAA